TTTGAATTTTTATTTTAATTAATTGTTTTTTAACTGTTATTGTTTATAATTTTTATTTAAATTGTTTTTGAGTTGTTAAAAAATTATTTTTCCAAATGGCAACCCCCTTTAAAATCTTTTTTTTACAAATGCTATGATCTAAAGCTTACAAATACGTATATACATTTTATTCAGTTTTTATCGAAATTAATAATTACTCCTAACACAGGGTGACAAAAAAACGTCTTGTCGTGACAACTTGACAAATTATATATCATTTTATTCGTCTCAGTGAGACAAATCTAATGCACTAATAAAATTTAAAAAGTTTTTGAATTTGAACTTTGAACTAAATAATTTGTTTCTATTTTAAATGAATTTAAAATACTTTAACTTTAAAAAATCATTACTCAATAACTATTAGGCCGATTTCCTTCAAATAAAAACCATTCTAAAGGAATAGACTTGCCCTTTAGAATGATATGCAATTTGAAATTGAATATTGGCAAACTTTTCTTCGAACAGTGTTCGAAGAAGTTCGAAGTAAATCGAAGTAATCTAAGAAAAACACTACGAGTAATTTTTTTTCATTATTACCATGGTGTAGAGCATCTTTTTATTAGTTGGAATCCAAATGTTTAAAATAATATACCGAGTAGTTTTTAAGATATGATTTTTTGAAGTTAAGGTTTGCTAATCAAGCATTGCTCCATATAGGAGAAATGCATGTTAATGTTACTTAAAATTGCATTTTTATAAAAGTATTTGTTTTAAGACTCTTATTTTGCTCAAAACTGGTCAATTGCACCTTCTTTGTTCTAATTAGAATAAACAAAAACTGTTTGTTTACGTAAAACAAATAAAGAGTACCTGCGTACTAATTAAAGCAAATAAAAAGTTTTTTTTCATTAAAAATGACCACTGGTCATTGAGCAAAGAGGATCTAGAAGTTTAAGGCACGAGCAAATCTTTTTCAAATCAAATTAATTTCCATTCAGATTTCGATTTGTTCACTTTGTTCTAGTTTTCTGAACTTTTTTTGAAACTGTTCTGATCAAATGCTTTCTCATCACTTTCGAGTAATGTTAAATGCAATAAATCACCTAATTTATTTTGTTGGTATATTCTACGATTAGCTTGTTGGTAATAGTTGTGATAACAGTTGCACACGAAGCAATTGACTTATTGCATTCAACATCACTCGAAAGTGATGAGAAAGCATCATTTCTCAGAACATTTTAAAAAAGAGTTCAGGAAAGCTAGAACAAAGTGAACAAGTCGAAATCTGAATGGAAAGTGATTTGATATGAAAAAGATTTGCTCTTATATTTAAGGCTCGTGTCTTAAACTTCTAGATCTTTTTGCTCAATGATCAGTGATCATTTTTAGAACAAAAAAACTCTTTATTTGCTTTAATTAGTACGCACGTACTCTTTGTTTGTTTTAAGTAAGGAAACAGCTTTACTTTATTCTAATTAGAACAAAGAAGGTGCAATTGACCATTTTTAAGCAAAAGGAGAGTACTTTTATAAAAATGCAATTTTAAGTAGCAATGCCTAAGTAGCAAACCATAACTTCAAAAAATCATATCTTAAAAACTACTCGGTATATTATTTAAAAAATTTGGATTCTTACTAATAAAAAGATGCTCTACACGATGGTGATGAAAAAAAAAATTCGTAGGGTTTTTCTTAGATTACTTCGAGTTACTTCGAATTTCTTCGAACACTGTTCGAAAAAAAGTTTGCCAATATTCAATTTCAAATTACACATCATTCTAAAGGGCAAGTCCATCCATTTAGAATGGTCTTTATTTGAAGAAAATCAGCCTAATAGTTATTGAATAATGATTTTTTAAAGTGAAAGTATTTTAAATTTATTTAAATTAGAAAAAAATTATTTAGTTCAAAGTATGTGGACTTTTTAAAAAAAAATTAGTGCATTTGATTTGTCTCACTAAGACAAACAAAATGATATAAAAATTTGTCAAGTTGTCACGACATGACTTTTTTTTGTCGCCCTGTGTAATTATTATTTTCTGAAAACAAATGATTTAAAAAACCTTGGTTCACCACGTAAGCATATTTCCATATGTAAGAAACTATTTTTTTTTCGAAAAACTTTGTTTTAACAAATTCAACAACATAATAAAAATGATTAATAACAATGAGTAAGAAAGTGTCCTACTTACAGAACTGTCAAGATTTCAAAATTTGTATCGTTTAATTGTGGTCAACAAGTATCATGATAAAAAATGACAACAAGTAATGTCAAAAGTGTCATCTAATTAAGACCAATTTACAAAGGAGCATTTTTTATGTCATATGTTTTTAACAAATTTGTTTTTCACACGGCCTCCCTCGTAACAAATCCCTTTTTCACCTCACCTGACCTCCCTTAATTGAAAGCGTCCACCTGCCACCCCTCGCTAGAACAAGCAAGAAATTGATTTAATTCTGGTAGATGCCGTCTATCGAGGTCAAATCTTGCATGACCAACGTGCATGGCTTGGACTGTCTGACGCAGGCGACTCCTTGCCTCTTATCAGCCCCAAAATCTGGCCATAAAACACGGGAACAAACGAATCGTTATTTTCGTCATCGAAAAGTGTAAAAATGTTCGTATGCGCTACGCCGCTTGCTCCGATGTAATGCAATATGTTTGACGTCTTGGCTTTTGTGCCGTTCGCCACCCCATCAAGCGTCGCCCCTCTGCGGAGGGAGGGCTGCTGTCATGCCGTGGCGCCTCCGCACCACTCGTGCGGATCATTCCCACTTCATCAACAATATCTCCGTGTGTAATCTAACGCCGGCGATTTTATCGCGGAAAAGTTGAATTTTCCCCAGAGAAAAGTCATTAGTTCGAGAAGTCAAAATCTAATTGGGGCTTTGTTTCCCATTTTACCCCTCCTAAAGAAAATTAAAAATTATTATAACGATTTAAATTTAGCGCGAGTTCAAGGCTCACTTGTCATGCGAGAAATTTTATACATCATGCAATAAGTGTGTCCTTAAATCCGAGTGATCGTCAGGATAATACGGTTTTCGAATTTCAAAGTCATCAAGGGAGAGTTGCGTGAACTTATTTATGGTGGCAATTTCTACAACAATGTCATATAATAATGAAACAAAAATAAAAAACATTATCCTCTTCCTGAACACGATTTTCTGTCGTAACCAAACTTATATTGCATTCATTTAAAATGCTTGATTTGGTTTTCTCAGAAAGCAATTTTCTCGTTTATATACACGCAATGTAATATTTCTAACTGAAACTTTTACAATTTTTTTTAAAAGCACTACAAGAAAATTAGAGTTATTTTCTCGAGAAGCTAATTTCATCAAAGAAGCATTCCAAAAAAATGTATTAATATTTTTTAATTCCAGATCCATATCAAATGTTTGGCCCTACAAGCAGTCGTTTAGCGAGTTCAGGTAAGTCCCAAACTTTTTTTGTTTTTAAAGTTTTAGCAAAACCTTTAAGCAAACTTTTAACGAAGACACTTATCTGAACATCTTTTCACATTTTAATAATTAAAGTCGAATTGAAAAAGCGCCAACAAACTACCAATTAAAATTTAAAATCTTATAAAAATAGTAGCTTATATCATTGAGTGAGTCTTTTTGTGCTAAGCCTAGAGATTGAAGGCCGAGCGGAAGCCAAGCAGAAAAAGACCTTCTACTCTGAATGATATACCTATATTATTTTATCTTCAAGCTGATCATAAAGAAACGGAAATTTAAACTTACTTTTGCTTTTTAACGTTGAACGGCCATCTTACTATTTTAATTTTGCATTTTCGATTTGTTCGATTTGTATTTAGATTTTTTTTTAAATAAGGAGTTTAGTTTATTTTGCGAATTGAATATTGTCGTTAATATCTAATTCCGCCTTTAACACTAAATTGAGAAGCAGACTTTCAAAAAGCAGTTTGTCTAAATTTGCATTTTTGCAGGAGAAACCAAAGACTGTGCTACTTTTATGAAATAATTTTAATGTTTTATATCAGTGACAATAAATGTGAAAAAAATTGTACAAATTGGACACAATTAGACACTAATTTTACGGCTGGAGTACTTAAGCATTTTACCAAAAAAGAACTTCAAAAACCTTCATCTCAATTCATAAAAAACATGAACATACTGAATTTTGAAAGTCTGCTCTATTGACTCTTCAGGTTTTCGTTGTCTGACAAATGATTAAAATATGCAAACAAAACACCTTAAAAGTAATGTAAAGCTTTATGTTGTTCAGTCTAGTTCAAATAGGTAGGTAAAATCGTACACTTTTCGGGACTTTATTGAGTTTAGATCCAATTTGCCGCAATCTGTATCAATTCTGGAGGTATGCAATGCATTTAGTTTTTAATGGAATTAGACTTACTTCATTAATTTGCTAAATAACAAAGATCAAAATTTTCAATAATTTACCTTATACATATTCATGAATATTAAGTAATTCTTGTAACTATTAATTGAAGGACTTATTGTAAAGACGTGATAAACTACATAATCAAATTATAGAGAAATAGGACTTTAAGTTTCAGAAAAATCTATGAAATTTATAGGGATTTTGATATTATAACTCCTAGGTTTTTTGATAAATGCTATAACTCAGACAGTAACCTCCAAAATTTTTTTGGAAAATACCCAAACTCGTGACTGTGTGACTTGTATAAAGTTTTGATGTTATTTAAAAAAATGTGTGGCTTGTCACGTTTTTGAAACAACCCCTTTAATTAATAATATTGTGATTTCACCGTGTGAAATATTTCACTGAATGGAGCCCCCTCTTTAAACAAACAATTCAATTCCTAGAACTTAAAGTATTTCAACTCCTATTACAAAACAAGTTATTTCAAGCGTTTCTATAAAAAAAAAACAATTTTAGATCCCTTGTTTTTTTAATAATTTTGTAGGTTGGGACTAGAGTTATTTTTATTTTTTTCCAAATTTAATTGTAAAATTAAAAATAAATATGTAAAAACAAAAAATTAAAAACAAAGATTTTAATTTATGAGAATATAAAATTAAAATTTAACATTTTTGATGTTAAAAAACCATTTCTAAAAATGTCATAATTTTTTATAAAAATGAGTGTTGAGAAACTGAGTTAACCTTCTGCAATAACGTCAATAATTGACGAAAACTTATTTTTTTACGACTCTAACAGAAAGTAAGTTTTTCCACTCTTATTTTAGAAAGAAAAGTGGACAAAAGAGAGATAAAAATTTTAGCTTCCTTCTTTGTCAAAAATTACTATAAAAATATAGGTATATAATTTCTCAGGGAAGTAAAAATTTTACCTCTCGTTACCTCTCTCATAGGAACGGGAAAACAAGCTGCTAAATTAAATTGTTAGTTTTGAAGCTTTTCCTGCAGGGTCGTAAGAAAGTGTCTTTCCTCCCTTGGTGGGTATTGCTGGTAATTTTGGCCTATGAGAAAAACAACAAGAAATTATTCCAAAAATTAATATTAATTAGATATCGTTATTATTATTAAAACTAAGAATTAAAGTGCATCAAAAATAGTGATTTAAAATAGCGCAATTTAACACTTATAGTCAATTCTTTTCTCTTATTAAAAGTAAAAATTCCACAGCAAAACTGAAACTTATTTGTTCAATCAACTATAATGTTGATAAAATGCCTTTTTTATGAGTGTTGCAGCATTGTTAGAAAGCAAATAAAAGAAAAAAAATACGTGTTATCATTTTTATTTCATTATTTATCAGTTTGAAAAGTGGAACACCGGTTCTGGAATAATGTACTAAGCTTTTTGATTTTAAAATATAACTTTGTATCATCGACATCATAACTCATTTTACCATTCAAATTGGTTTTTTAATAGCTTTCTTTACTGTAGATACAATATATAAAATTATTTTATGTTTTATTTTTATAAAATGTTAATTTGAAATATTTAACAAGTTTATTTTAACATTTATGTACGCCGTAGATATTTTTTTAAGCAAAGAAAAATTGGAAAATATAGTTTGACGAATGCCAGTTTGCACCAACCCCATTTGGTTCATTTTTTTCTATCAAAATGTCTATCATTGAGTTGACAACTCAATTGATCAATTAATAGTTAGTTATTATACAAGACGATAAAGACATTGTTTATCGACAAGTGAAAAGTTTAAGTTTACAAGTGACGAAGTCACGAATAGACTTTTTTCACAAGTTGATAAACAATCTTTATCGTCGTGTATAATATTTCGTTTTATTTTGTAGTCATCTCATCTACTTTCTTAAATATAAACAGTAGATAAAAATTACTTTATTTCACTAGACAGTAAAAGACTATTTTATCTACTGAAATTAGTTAACAAAAGCACTTTTTAACATTGAGTACAAAATAAAAAAAGTAAAATGTGATTATGGAAAAAAATAGTGTAGGTACTAAATTTAATTTTAATCGAATCGGTAACCGCTGCCAGAGCCCCGACAAAATTAAAGATAAAACAATTAATCGCAGACAATCTCAGAAATTTAGCAATTTAAATGCACATACGTATGTTAATGTTAAGCCGGCATGTGGCTAGATTTCCTTCCAAGTCCAGGTGTGTGTTGGTCGTAGGTGGCTAAATCACCGATGCCGGTACAACATGCGTTTATTTCCTTCCGCCGTCACCGAATTTACAAGTTAAATTACATTTAAATTGCTAATATGCCAACCTGACAATGACACGATCGTTAAATTATACCGACGCCATGTTATACCGCCCTCTGGGACAAAAAATTTGATTTGATTGAATTTGCTTTAATTATTTCAATGTGAGTATAACATCCAAATGAGTGCTTTAATGGACTAGTGAGTTTACTTCTCCAAGATTGGTAGCGTGCCGTTTTTATCAGCCGCCGTGATCTTTTCGCCTAATCCTCGTATCAGCAAAAAAATCTAAATTTTCATTAGTGATTTAAAAAAATCGAAAAAATAATTCACCCGTTGTTACGAAAGTCAAACAGAAATTAAAGCGGCGACACCCCCGGTTCGAAAGTGGGTGTGTTTGTCAGATTTACAGTTGGAAAAAGTTGGCTAAATGTTGCTTAATGCACGTTTAATGATACCCTTCTGAAGCCATTTACCTTTTGTTTCACATGGGGTGCGCCACCCCTTCGCGACTCCACCACGCGTACCTACACGTGGCCGACTTGGTGTACAGTAATTACCCTCCCGACATTTGTTTGATTTGATTTTGGTGAGACATGCGATTATTACGTGCACTGCTTTATATAAATCGGTGGAGGTTAATGAGATTTTTGGACGGCATGATGAGGTCGCGAGGGTTTAGTAAATTGTTTTCCGTTGAGTGAAATCAAACAAAATGAGCAACCCAAAAAACAATGCTTGATTAAATAAACAAGTTTTTGATGTAAATTTAAAATACGGCTATTTAAAGCACTCTCATAGTCTTCACATATCAAGATTATAACATTCAAACTTTTATTGGATTTACCAGTTCTACCGTAAAGAATTTTTTTAGATTAAATTACAACTTGTTATTTTTACAAATTTTCAGAAGGTTTGTATTTTATCTCAAATTAAAACACCTATTTTTGCCACGTTACATATGGCGTTTCAAGTAAAAATTTTAACTGAATACAGAGTGTTTTGTAAAACGACAAAAAAATGCCAAGTAAGATAAAATACCAGCAGCATTAAAAAAATGTTTAAAAAATTCTATCAATAAACATTTTTTGCCATTTGATATTTTTTTATGTCTATTGTTACCGATGATCTTGCTTAGGTATGTTTTTTCATAATTATTCAGTAAAGGTACAAAAACTTTATCAATAAAAGATAGAAATTAAACATAGTTATAATTCAGGATCCAGCTTCCTTATTTCCTCTTCTAATAGTCTGTAGCAAAAAAAACTTGGAAAATTATTTTTCCAATTGAAATAAATAGAGTCACAGAGCAAAATTTAAACTTTTATAACTTCGAAATTTTTATAAATAGAATTTTTTAATATTTTTTTCATGTTCCTTTTACTTATCCTATTTTCCTTGGCATTTTTCTTTTTTGTTGTCTTTTTATCTTTACCTGAAAATTTAAACATGGTTAGCCAATTAAAGGCAAAAAAAAATGGTACCGCCATTTGTTTTACATTTGACCAGTGATAATAAGTCAACTGTTTTTTCCACAATAATAGTAATGATAATTTTTATTTGTGTCAATTGTGACGCTAGAATCAAATACTTAGGTCTGATAGTTACAGAGTGAATCAAAATTTATGTCTGTCAATTTATGAAAATAAACAGAGCAATCATTTTTTTTATTTTTAGATTAACATACCAACATATGAAAGAAAAAATTCTCGTTTCAGTGCTACCAATAAAAACAATTTTTTTTCTGCAAAACATCCCTTATCTCCAAAATGTTTGAAAAATTTTCTAAACTTTATTTATAGACTATATCCATCCTACAGACATTAGCTGAAAACCACATGCGAGCAGGTTTTGCTATAGAAATGCACAGAAATGTCTAAGTATATTATGGTGACAAATGTTACATTTATGATGACAAATGTTACTATATCAACAAGGAAATTCTACAGAATGTACCAGCGAGTTAGTAAAGTCCATTATTGACATATTGATTCAAAATTGTCGAACCAACTTTCTAATGGTAATAGAAGACTTTCAAGCAAGCACAAAAATTAATTCAGTTTTTTTTTCAAGCCTTTTTTTGAAAAACTGTCAATTTCCATTTGTAGGTATCTTTGCTCTTTTGTTTCCTATGTTATAAGAGTTACTTTATTGTTGAATTTGCTAGTTTGTTAAATGTTTTGTACACCACAACAGATATGTTCAATGTTGCAAAATCTGGCGTTTAACTAAATTCAAGAAAATATTATCTGAACGGCCAATAATCTTTGAAGAGCTCAAAAATTTTTTTGTCATGAGAACTCTTAACTCAGTTAGATGTCCTTTATCACTCACTACCCAAGAGATGGTCCAACACTTTTGAACAGCCTGTATAAATGTTAATATTTAAAATAATTTAAAAAATATATAAAAGAAATTGATAGATGTTAATCTAGTGCATGAAGTGAAATTATTTTCAACTAAACAGCATGTCCCAGAAATAAGTTACAATACAAACTAGTGTTTAGAATACAAACATATTTTTGAATGTACAATTTTACGTTTTTTTTGCTGCAGGTTATTAGAGGAACAAGAAATTGTAATTATGTTTAACGTTATTTTTGGCTTTTATTGGCAAAGTTTCTGAACCTTTACTATACAATAACATTTTTTTCATCTTCCTGGTATCTTATCTTACATACAGAATCAGTCTGTATGATTTTATAATAATGTTTTTAAACTTTTATTGGTCGATTTTGATTAGATTTTTTTAAATAAGTTGTTTTTTTGATGAAAACAAATATACAGGCTGGATTATGAAAAAGCCACAACCTATAATTATTTGTAAAGATATAACAATACTTCTTTAAAAAAATTGAACAAATTTTTGTCATCTATTGTTTGACATAGATGCTGAATCAATGCTGCTTCCTGTTTCACTGGAACTGATATCAATTTCAGTTTTTTAAATGGAACACCTTATATATTTTATTATTTTTGGATTCTTCATTTAACTATCTTTCAACAAAGTCATTTACTGTTATTTATCACTAACTTTTAATTTTAGGCAATTTAAAAATTAAATTAAGTAAAGAGAATATGGAAATTTTAGAACATTTTTATTCATTCAATCTAAAATAAGCAAACGATTGATCACAAAAAAACTGTCAACCTTGATCAAAGAATTATTTTAACATCTTATGTTAAGCTATGACTTAAAGCGTTTTTTATAATCCAGCTTGTATATTTTTTCGATCAAATGTCATAGCCGTCTAAAATTACCATTAAAAAAAATACAAGCTTATCTTATTACGGCTAAACAAACAACTGTAAAAAAATGTTAATTACATTATTAAATTCCTCGTAAAAAAATGCCTGTATAATGTCTTTATTTCAAATCTGTGTCTTCTATAATAACGAAGATATGAATTTTTTTAGATTTCGCTGAAATGTCAATTTTTGTCTATAAGTCAAAAACAAAAGACGATAGCGGGATGCGGTTTTAACAAATATAATTTTCTCAAAAAATGAGCCCCAAAATGTGTCACTCATTTTTGGGTAAACCTCTTAGTTTTTCCGGACGAAAAAGTCAATTTGGTTACTATGGTGGCAATTTTTTTTTTAATTAATAAGAGGTCATCTGCTATTCGGCTTCGCCTCGTCCGGAAACAACAACGATTCGTCCGCAAAAACTGTATTTTAGGTACTTGTAACAAAAGTAACTATATTCAAATTTTCTTTTAACTTTTGCACTTGCTACTATATTAATTTTTTTCCTTCGTTCCAGGTTCGGGTCAAATTCAGTTGTGGCAATTCCTCCTCGAATTACTAAGCGATTCTTCAAATGCCGCCTGTATAACATGGGAAGGAACGAACGGTGAATTCAAACTAACAGATCCCGACGAAGTGGCACGTAGATGGGGCGAAAGGAAATCAAAACCTAACATGAATTACGATAAATTATCTAGGGCGTTAAGGTGCGTATTTCCCGCCCTTTTTTCCAAATCCACCCTAACGAAACATACAACATATCGACTGAGGCCAGGCCAGGTCGCTTCGGTCGGATTTAGTGGCGCAATCTTCGACATTTGACCGAATAAAAACTTCTATTTCAGATCAATTCGGGAGCAAATGGCATTTGTTATATCACAATCGTCCTGCTGAATCACCCGAATGGCGTTTCAGCAGGACGAAGAAATGTCGGATTGGTCGACTCGCAGGTCGTTAGTTTGGCGGGCCAGAAATCTCGACCGGGGTGCACTAATCCCATTGCTGTGTTCATTTGGAGCAATTAGCGGCCGATATTGGCTAATGCATTTATCGAACAATTTTTTTGCAATTTCTCGCACGGAATTGTTCCCATAATAGAAAATTATTTCAGCGAGGAGCGAACGCGACGGGAAAACAAAGCGAGAGAGTTTCTTTTGATCGCTGAACGAACGGAAGTGTGATAATTAGCTCGTGAGGGATGTTTTGTTGAAAAAAAATACGACGAAAAAATGAAACAAAACTGATTTGGTTTCTAGACAAATCAGTAAATGACATTTAAAACAAGGCTAATACAGGTTATCGGATTTCGGTTAATATACAAAGTGATAATAAAGAATTTACATAAGAGTCGGCTAAAAGAAGAATTTATTTTAACTATTTACCAGGTTTTATTACATATTTAAATACAGGTTGTTCGGTCCAAGTCGCCTCGTCTGATATCACCTAAACTTACTTCTTTTTTTCAAAAAGTAAATATTTAAGTAATAATATTAATTCTTGGCTTTCTTAATAAATGTATCAATTTTTTTATCACATCCGGTGTTGTCGGAAATGCTACTAAATTTAATTTTTCAAATAGAACACCTATGTTTTTTCCTCGAAACAATAATAATTGGCATGAAAAATACGGTAAACCACTATTTATTACATTTTGCGTAACACAATGCAATCAGAAAACATTTTAAATCTTAGAATTTTATAAGAAAATTGGTGGTGTAGCCTGATTTTTAATTTTAAAGGAAAGATGTGAATAAAAAATGCTTGGATACAGTTTAATTGTTGGTTTGACAAATCTAATTTGCCAGTTGATAAACGAGTTCTCTTATGAAAACTCTTGGATTTTCTTCGATTAATAACAGAATATTTAGTTAGTTAGACGAACCTGTTCGTCTCATTTGTTTTTCAATTCGATTCCAACGATTTGGGTGAACTCTGTTTGGATATTTTTCTCTATACTGTCTTTCAGCTCCACTCTATTTTTATTGCACTTAAAAAACACTTTAAACTGATCTACCAATTTGTCGTATTAAAAATCTCAATAAGATTTATTGACAAATTAGGCTTTGTCAAAATAACAATTAAACGGTATCCAAGCATATTGCTTTTTGCATGAATACCTTGACAAGTAAAATCCGCCTACATTCCAAAATTTGCTAATACGAGAAAATCCTAAAATTTAATTTATTTTCTGAGTGCATTATATAAAGTAAAATGTAATAAATAGTGGTTTACCGTATTTTTCATGCCAATTATTATTGTTTCGAGCAAAAAAACATAGGTGTTCCATTTGAAAAACGAAATTTGGTAGCATTTCCGGCTACACTGGATGTGCCAAGAAAATTTTATGCATTTACTAAAAAAGTCATGAAGTCATGTATTATTTAAAAATTTAGTTTTTCAAAAAAAATGTAAGTATAGGTGTTATCGGCTGGGGCGACTTGGACCGAACACCCTGTATACTACTCTGTAAAAAAAGTATCGGGAATATTCGATTTAAAGAGTTCACGTAGAAGATATCTTAATAATTCTTGTCTGATAAATTGGTATGAGTACAACCATACTCTCTTACCAAACCAAATTTTACAGGTCAAGTCGTTTGTTTAAAATTGTTTTTACGATAACTTGTTGTTAAGTCTGACTTGCGATTTTTGTCATGAATTCCACTACCGATCAAAGAATTTGCTTAAAATTTTGTGCAGTGAATCTCTGAAAATTTTGCATTTGCAATTGAGCCGGAGAGAAGTTACCGACTTTCCTCGTTCTGGACGGTCGTCAACAGCAAAGACGCTGGAAAATGTAAAGAATCAAAGAAATGATGACTGCAAATCATCACTGGTTTAAAAGTAATATTATTTAGCCGTTGTGAAGTGTTTGTAAAAAATATTCTCTGGAAAAGACCAGATTTGTGGAAAGACTACTTTGGGATTTTGCACCATGACAGTGCACCTGCTCACACAGCGACAATCCTGCACAAATTTTTGGATAAAAACTCAACAAATGTCATCAATCAAGCACCGTATTCAGCTAACATGGCCCTATGTGCCGTTTTTCCATTTCTTAAACTTAAATTGCCTTAAATTGATCAATAATAAAAGTACTATTTTATTTAAAATTTCCCGGTAATTTTTGTACAGAAGGTACATATAAATTACTTATTTTTTCATTCAAATTCCTTAATGAATTCTGTTCATTACTATGCAGGGGGTCCCACGTAAGATTTTCGAGTCTAATATCTCTGTTATTTGCCAAAGGATTTTTATGAAATTTAAAATGTAAGCAACTTAAAAGGTGGAGTTTCAATTAGTATTAATAAAATTACCTCAACATAAAAATAATAATTTTAACACATATTGTCACAATTTGAAATTAAGCGAAACTACTAGGATTATATTGTTAAACATTAAAACATAGACTTCTAGAGAAAGAATGAACTAAATCACTCGTCTCAATCAGCAGAAAGGCGTAGATTATGTTGTTAAAATTTTGACCTAATTTTTGAAAAAAAATTATTACAGTTAACTCAAAACGTCTCCAAGTAACATTTTGTACAACCCTGAAAACCTGTGGTAAATTAAGTTAGAACACTTTTAGAACTATTGATGCCAATGATGGTACCTTCGAGCATCTTTTGTTGTACTAAACTATAAATGTAGTTCCTAAATTACGTTATAACTTTTTGAAGTTAGAAAAACAATAAATATGTCAAATATCAACGTCATTGTTGCCTGACCGTCAGGGGTGATTAAAATTCTGTAATATCATTCAGCCACTTTTATCACAAACTCTTTTAAAGACAGATTTTTGCTTATAGCATTTTTCATTGGCAATTAACAATTTAAGTAATTTAGAATTTTTAAAAAACATGTTAAAATCACATTATAAGAACTAGGATTGTTTTAGGGTGGGTTGCACCAACACTAGTTAAATTTAATCTCGGATTAAATCCATAGTAACCATTGTTGTTATCATAGTTACAATTGTTCTTAATCGGAGATTAAATTTAACTAGTGTTGGTGCAAACCCCCTTAGTAATGCGATTTTAATCTCTGCTTACTAAATACTCTACATTATAAATTTCGTTAGAATCCGTTGGCAAATAATAGAGATATCAGATTCGAAAGTCTTAGGTGAAACACCCTGTACATGTACTACCCAACTTGGAATCCGCCCAGAGCAAGAACAGCACATCTATTAAGTTGCGATAAAAAGAAATTTGGATTGGGAAACTGTCATAAATGACGCAAAACCCCTAATAACACTAGCCAACAAGCATTTTGTGACTGAGAAGAAAACAGTTATTTTTTGTTCAATTCTATGTGCTAAACTCAAAAATGATAAAGAAAATTCCATAGCAGGTCAAATTTTAAAGTTAGGGATTTTAAGATATCATATGTAAGTGTGTTAGACAAAATCGCCGAAAAACGAAACACTTAAAATTCATTTTCTCCATTCTCATTAAAAAAAAAATTCCCCAAATTTGGGTGCAGTTAATGACCAGCAAGGGAAGAGGTTCCACCAGGATATATTGAAGATGGAAAAGAGGTACCAAGGGAAATCCAGCTATGATGGGGGATTACTGCTGGTTCCTGAAGGGAAGTTAAAACACCCTACAAAAGAAAGTCAGCTTTTGCAAAAAACTCATCTACAACAGATTTATGTTAGAATCTTATACATCTTTCTTGTTTAGTGAATAAATTAGTTTTTTTCGTCGTCTATTTAATTAATTTCTATTTAAAATGAACAATTTTTACGATAAAATTTGAGTAAACTATTTTCCTGTAACTTAAAATCTGTACGTGATAGAGAATTTTTCTTATCAAATTCGTAATTAGGGATGTTAATGTACCCTGATACACGTGCCAATAGATCAAACAAATTACAAAAAAAAATTTTGTTGGGTAGTGTAATTTGAACCATGTTTCAAGAAAGCAAAACAAAAATGTTTGTTTTCATAGCAGGCTGGATCTGGATAATCTTTTGTGGATATTCAGTAGTACACGCCTGCAGTGCCGTAATAGTACTTTTCGGGGCCCAAAATCCCGGATCATTTAACGCTTGGTCCTTTATTCGGTCCAGAGATGTATAAATTGTCCGGCATGTGGGCTAGCATATTAGCGTGTCCGGTGTAGTCCGGGCAGTTCCGGCCCCGGAGAACACCGGAGACTGCCACATCCTCCGGATTCCGCCGACGCCGTTCTTATTGATTTCGCAATTACATCTTCGCCCATTCCGTCCTTCCTGATTTATATTAATCAAATCGTAAATTCTTTGCAGATACTACTACGACAAGAACATCATGACGAAAGTGCACGGTAAGAGGTACGCCTACAAATTCGATTTTCAAGGATTAGCGGCTGCCACACAACCGGCCACGAGTGACCCCAGCAGCTACAAATACCAAAGCGAGCTTTTCATGAGTTCCTATCATCACAGCGCAAAGCTGGGAAGCTTTATGAGTCCGCATGCCGTCGTGCCAAGTTCAGCAGGTAGGGAAATCATTAATTCTAAAATATGTAGGGTAAAACAGGGAGAGATGACGAGGCGGGAGAGACGACGCAGTCCGATAATTCGCGAAATCGGTGCATGTGGCGTTAGTTGCCCAAGTTAGGTACAGGGCCGCCGCTAGAGGTTTTGACGCCGGCGTGCACATTTGAATTTGACGCCCCTTGTTAATTTGTTAAAAAAATATGGGTATACTTATTTTATTACATAGGTATGATACCTAAAAATATATAAGTGCCAATAAATAAAACAAAATAACAAAAAATATATTTAAATCAAAGATAATTAAATTTGTAATTTTAAAAACGCAAATAAGAAAATAAAACATATAACATCATAGAAACTATAAAATAAATCCTTAAAGAAATTGTATTTTCCCCACTTTCATATTTGCAAACTCTGTAACCAGCTCCTTTATATTTAAATTATCTAACAGCTCTTGTTCAATTGCAATAGTAGATAAGTTGCTTAACCATGAACCATGAACCATGGTGAATCTTAAATAATTTTTAATGATTTTTAATTTAGAAAAGATCTTTCGCCATACGAAATTGAAACTGGTAAGGAAAGTTAAATTCTTAATGTAATTGCTGTATTAGGAAAAGTAGAAATTAAATTATTTTCAAAAAGATTTTGTAAAATATTTTATGGTTTTTGCATAGTTTGTTTGATGAAATGTATTTTTAAAGCTTTAAAAGTCTTTGAAAGTTTTTAATAATTTTTCTTCCAAAGAATTAAACATATTGTTAATAAATCCAAATGTATCATTAAATGTATTTAGTTTTTCAAACCTATTATTTAAAGAAGACAAAACTTGATTCAAAATCCTGTAGAAAAGTTAGTTTTGAAATTATTTTTTGCATCTAGCATAACTTCGTCTTGATGTTCCGTACTTCGTAGTCAAAGAGTTTTGGCTTGCCTTTTGGGCGTACAGTTTGCATCATCGGAAAATTTGGTTCAACATTAAGTTCGTCAGCAATTTTGTTTGCTTCAGTCATTACATTTTCGAAGCTTTCATCTAAACGTATAACCAATTAATGATTAAAAATTTTTAAAAATGGTACCAAGATATTTGTTTAATTGTAATACTTCCACAAAAATCATTAATTTAAAAACAAATTTTCGACTACCACTAAGCACAAATCCACTAACTAATAAAGCAAACTAATGAAAGGAAATAGGAAATTGGATGCGATCTTAGTATGTGTATTTTTTAACTCAAAAGTTCTAGGAAACGATATAAAATTTGTTTTATTCAGAAGTCCAGATTCAGTGAACTTGGCGGCGCAATAGCTTTATTAGAGTTCGAATATTGTAAGATGAACACCTTGAGTCATTTAAATCCAACAAGCCGTTTGAATGGCTCACGGTGTACATCTTACAGTGTTCGAACTCTAATCTCTATAGCAGGAAACGGCCCCATGACTAGCTTTTTCACATAACGTTTTATTTTTTTTTGTTTGGTTGTATTTCTCTTGCAGTTTTTTTGTTCACTCAAAATGTCTTTTTTTATTAAATTTTGTTACCGTTTTGGTGCCGCCTTAACTCTGGGAGTCCGCGTGCGTCGCACGCCTTGCACCCCCGCTTGTGGCGGCCCTGGTTAGGTACATACCAGGTGAATAGAAAGTATGGAACCAAACGTTTTTTCTTTAAACTATTTATTTTTTGAAAAAACTAATTGATGAGTGATAAAGTACTATAAAAATGTGATGATTTAACAAGAATAAAATTTTTTGAGTTCTACAAAAAAAATATTTTTTTAAATGGCAACCCACTATAAAATCATTTTCCTCATAAAAGCTATACTCTAAGGATTACAACTAGCTGCTTTATTTTAAATTTTTTCAAAATTTTTTTTTTCACATAAATTGCAATTTTGACCAAAAAAATCGCATAACTCAAAAACAAAACAAAATTTCGTTCTGAAAATACGATCACATTTTTTTATATTACTTTAATTTATATTAATTATTATTTTCTGGAGGCAAATGATTAAAAATAAAACCGCTTGGTTACATACTTTATATTCACCCTGTATACCGGGTGGGGCATCGGTTACGCGCACTTGATATATCGCGACTTCAAATTAATTAAAACTGGCGATATTTCATATACCTAACTAATTATTGATAGGGTATAATTTGAAAATTTTTCTAATTTTTTTGGATAATAAATGAGTCCGTAACAGTTTTGTGTGATTTATGAATACTTTCTGTTAATTTACCTATAAAATTTTTACACTAAATGAATCTGTACCTGTCAGCGCATCAAACTTTGATATCACAATTTCAAATTTTGACTTGGTTAGCCAGATAATCGTTTTTTTTTTTATTTAAACACAAACCAGACCCGTGATTTATGACAAAATGGTATAATTTGCCAACAAAAGAATCATTTACTGGTAGCCGACCGCTTTAAAGTGTCTTTTTGTTGTAAACCTTGGAATCTTACCCCAATTGCAGTTCCCCATTGTCACCTAAATTTACGATGGCACAAGTAGCAGGTCATAAATAAAAATGATTTTCAAAGTTAAGATGGAAAATTGCGTTTAATTCAAAATCTAATTGATATTTTTTTTCTGATTTTGTAAACAATTGTAGGAAGTGAATCTGCGTAGGTCAGTATGAAAATTAGAATTAAACTTTTTGGGAGAAAATTACTTTTTATTTTTTTTGGCTTTGTTTGTGAATGAAAAATTACCAAAAAATTAGAGAATGTACCATAATAATGCCCAGGTAAGTATGAAAAAATTCAACAATTTTATTTAATTAGAAGAGGGGGTTTTCTTTTTGGGCGTAACGGATGCCCCACCCGGTATGTATATAAAGGATCTACTCATACCGTTCAGGAAAAATCGTAATAAAAGTGCAATAGACTTGCAAGATATTTGATGATATATCGTTGATAAGTTGTACTACAAAAGTTTGCAAGATATTTAGTTTGATCTACTCTTCAGGGGCGGATCCAGGAATTAATTTTGGAGGAGGCTTTTGAAATTTTTTAGAATGATGAAGGCGAAAGTGAGCGGCAAAATTAGAGAATAATATTATTAATTTTTGTTAATTTGAATTTTTTAATTTAGTTAGACACCTAAGATGTGGCACTAAGAAAATTACAATACAATTACAATTTCTTTTTAAATTAGTAAAACAAGTAAGTGTCGGCGTATGTCTGTGAAACGTCAAATCAAATGATAATTGGAAAGGTAAAATGCCATGATCAAGATGATGATTTTAATAACTAAATTTATGATTTTCTTTCAAAAAAAGAACGGTTTTATGATTATACGTCGGCGACTAATTCCAGCCCATTTTGGCGTTTTACCTTTTGACTTGTCAGACATAAGGACGTTTTCAGATCCAAAAAGGACTAGATTACAAATTATCATGATCTCTCAAAAAATTTAATGTTTCTATTTAAAAAAAAAAAAAAATTTTTGGTGGCAAGTTTGGGGGGGGGGGGACTGGCCCCCTGGGACCCTCCCCTGGATCCGCCCTTGCTACTCTTTATTAGTAATTCGATAAAAGGCGACCTTCTGACAAATGTAGTTTAGAGTTCGGTTATAGTAGAAGCTGTATTCACAAAGCAATTGCGACATCTCGGAATTTCTTGCAACCTAAACGTGCCCTCTTAGCAAAAGAAAAATTCATTAAGGGTAGCAGTTTAGGCGGAGCACACTTTTTGGGCGAAGATGCAGAAAGAAAGCTGTGTAACCACATTCAAAAATTGGAGGCCTCCGATTTTGCACCTACGTCGCCGCAGGTGTCTTCGTGATACCTGCACACCCTTTAAAAACTACTGTATGCCTTGTGAGAAGAAGTCCAATAACTTTATTATGCAAGCAAAAATTACTTCTTCAGATGCACTTTTTGGCGACCTGTTGCCGCTGGCACTTTTCTCTGGGGCGCGAATTCTGGCGCACGTTGTATAGAAAAAAAAAAATATCAGAAGAGGTTGACATCTTCCGGTCGCATATAGGCCCTAAAGTTTGACAAAATATGAAAAACTTATTGTTTTTTTTAATAAGAATTTTTCTAAAACACTGTTCTTATGTTCAAAAATAAAAATACTACAACTATTACGTTAAAAAAAAGTATATCAAAGATATAAAAAACAACTCGACAAAATGCAAAATTTTATGCTTATGCGCGACCGGAAGATATCAACTGATCTAAACCAAATTAAAACACAACGTTTTTAGGCTCTATTTGAAGACGTTATAAAGTATTACATTATGAAAACATCAACTAAAAATTAAAAAAAAAAAGAAGTTTTTTTCAAATTTTGTCAAACTTTAAGGCCTATGTGCGACCGGAAGATATAAACCGATTTTGATCATTTTTTAATTTTTTTTTGTATAATTCGCAACCTTTCTGCGCTATAACAAAAAAATGAGAAAGCCTTGCTGAGAATATTTTCAAAAAAAAAGTTTAGAAAGCTAGAATAGAAAGCTAGAACAAAGTGAAAAAGTCGCAATCTGAATGGAAAGTGATTTGATTTGAAAAAGATTTGCCCTTAAATAGCCTTAAACTTCTAGATTCTCTTTAGACTGCTCAATGATCAGTGGTCATTTTCAAAAGAAAGAAACTCTTTATTTGCTTTAATTAGTACTCAGGTAGAGGTACTCTTTGTTTGTTTTAAGTAAATAAACAGTTTTTGTTTATTCTAATTAGAACAATTTTTTTAAATCAAGATTTTTTTATCTATAACAATAGTCCTTTAATAATATCGTATATTGTATTTTATTTCATTGTGTCCGATAATTGTGTATTAAAAAACAAGTTTTATAAGACCAGTCTTTTAACGAACTATTACCGTATCAAAGCCGGTAAGTACAACATACATCAGAACCCAATAAATGAGTTATTACGATAACTGTAATCAAGCAATACAATTTCAATTTCTAGGCTTGCTTGATAGATACACTTTTTGATCGCACTGTAGTACCTTAGCGGTACAGAAGACGGTTGATGGTCGAGCGTTGGTATGGTCTATAAAATTCCTTGAACAATATAAACAATTTTTTCCGTTATAGAAATTCTTATTATTCTGATTAACAATCAACACTTTTAAATTTTTAGCTGTTTTTTGGTTTGCATATCTTAATTGAATTCTAGACATAATATATAATCAAAAAAAAAAAATTATTACACCGAAGTAAGGATGCCAAAGTAAAATTTGTTTTTTTTTTATGTTTTTGTAACACAACTACTTACTAAAATTGTTTTTTTTTTATTTTGTGATATTAAACCGTTATACATTTTTATATTTTGTAAATAATAGAGTTTAAATTGGGCCAGTTTTCTTATCTTACTCTGTTGTAATTAAGAGAATGGTTTATATTTAGTTATAATTTTCATTGAACATATAAATAATAGGTAATAGTTTTTTTCAACTTATGTTTTTACCATATCAATTATTATGTACTTTTACTAACATAACGTCGTAAGTCCCGGTTTAATGAAATATTAAAAAATACTCAAGTAGACATTTATAATTTTATTAAACATTAAAGGCAGTAAAAATGAGAGTTATTTTCCATTACAATTTACAGACTCAAACTATTTTTAAATCAGCGAAATGTATAATATTTAACTATCAGGGTACGTAGTAAAAGGGAATGATTTTAACATTCATAGCTATCCTCTTCAACAATTTTTTTATTGATGTTATTCTGTTTGGTTCAAAATTTTCTAAATACCTGATGCTAACTTTACCATCATCAGAGAGATGAAGACCCATTAAAATTTTCGTTAAACCCTTTATTTCGTTTTCCATAGATTCAAATATTTCATAATATTTTTTCTCTATACACTGTTTTAGGGCCTTCTTTGCAGAATCTTGTTCATTTCGCTTTACTTCAATTATAATTGCTGCACATTTTGTAATAATAATTAAATCAAGCCTGGGTGACCATCCCTTTTTGATTGGCAATTCTGAGAAACAATGGAAGTTCTCAGAACCAAAAATTAACATCCAAAGGTCACAGTAAAAATGAAAATGAGCTTTTGGTAATTCTCGGTTGGTATACAAATTTTCCACAGATTCTTTAAAAGTAACATATTGCGTAGGTTCATGCTCCTCTCCACATCCTAAGGACTTTAATGCATTCACAAATGACTTTTGATGGTTTACATTAAACAGGTTAGTTTTAACACTTAACAACGCCTTATGTAGTTTATCTGTAAATATTGCTTTCAATTCTTGATTCGGAATTTCTAATGTCCAAGTCGTATCATCTTTGTGAATAACATTAAAGTATCCACATTCTGTAAGAAATTGAAGAGCTAAGTCTACCTCCTCTTGATTGATACAATTTGAAATTGATTCATGTAATTTTTTCAGGGTAGAAATATCGTCCAACTGTGTAGTTGTTGTATTGATGGAAATATTCTGATTTTCTCTAATGGCAGGAAACACCTTCTCCTGCATTTTTTCAAATTTAAATAGTTCGCATACATATTTTGTTCCAACTGATTCAATCCAATAACTTCTTCGTACCAGATTCGGTAAATAATTGGTGATAGACACAGGATTACAAATACTTGTATCTTTATCTCCTATTACAGTGTAATTGTTGTACCAAATACCAATTTCATTAAGAGCTTTTTCTCGTTGACTTTCTGGGACAGTGCTTTTAACTAAAGCGTTTACTTCTTCTTTAGTAAATCCAAAGAATTTATAATAATCATAATCCTTGTCCAAGAATGTTCTACGTCGAACATTGTTAGCTCCTAATGAAATCATACCGCCGAATGCAGTGACAGAAAAAATCATTACTCGATCAACAAATTCTGCCGATATCTCATCTTTGCATAAAAGACGCATAAGTTTTCGTAATAAAGTAATAATCCTTTCGTCTTTTTCTTTATGAAATAACAATTCCATGAAAGGTGCGTCGAACTCGTCAATTAATTAACATAATGATTTTTCTACTTGTTTTTGTTTGATAGTAGACCGACACAACCTCAATCAAATATCTAAAAGCTTTAAATATGTATTGATCTGCTGAGCCATCAGCTTTTGCCTTTATCCAGTGATCGTCATCATCAGCATCCTTCAAATAACGCAAGAAACGTTTAACATCCAGTTCTCCCATGTTGTTGCTTGACCAGATATATGTTTTATCACCCATATGAATTAAACACCTATATTTTTCAAACTGCCTTGTTATCATATCTCTAAGGCTCGCCAAGAAACTGCTATATGACATTGCGGATAATTGTGCAAAATCTAGTGAAATTACTGGATGTAGTCCGCAGTACTTGCGAAAAAAATTTTTCCTTTTACAATCATGATTATCTGTGCATTTTTCAGAGCATTTGTAAATTCTGAGATCCTCGAAAAGATTATATTTCTTTTTTATAGATAAAAATTTTTTTACAATTTTTCCATGTTCTTAATATCATTTTTCTCTGGGGCGCGAGTTCTGGCGCACCCTGTATAGTGGCGCAGCCTGTATAGTGGCACACCCAAATATGAGGGCCTAGTTCCGTGTCTGGACCATGGTCACATAAATCGCTGTCAGGCATATGTCAACTTGACATTGCACAATTATTCGAAAATATTTAATAAAAGACTTTACCTCAGACTCCAAACATAACCCACAATAAATCTGAATGGATCTCGTGAATTTAATTCACAAAAAATCACAAAAAAAGTTAACAGGTGCCTGACAGCAATTTGTGTGACCATGGTTATTCGTTACCGTAGATGCCATTCATTTAAAATCCATATTTTTTGCTTTCACTGTTGTGCAGTCCTCAGTTTAAATTAAAATATTTTTAAAACTTTAGGGGTACCTATTAAAGGTTATGCTTTTTCTATTCAAAATTGATCACTCCATCGATTTGGGTAATAAATAATTAGTGTTAAGAAATCAAAAAAAACTAAAAAACACAAAAAATGTTACCTTTAACTGCAGCAACCAGAAATTGAGTAGATCTATTCTGTTTTCGTGATTACCAGTTCAAAATGTATGGTCTTGAAAGTAACTGTTCCAAATTTTATAATATTTGGCCAAATGGTTCCAAAGTTATTACAAAAAAATTTTACATACCCACATTCCAAGGGCAGTAAAATTCTTATCAGAGAGATAGGACACGAGTTATTATTTAAATTAACATCATTTTATAGGTTATTTTTGAGCTTTAAATATTACTTCATATTTATGAATTACCCATAAGTCCAGTAAGTCAAATATTACAGTACGAATAAATATCAAAATGAGTACTATGTACGAGTATAAGAGACTTAGCAGATGTGTGACATATACATACAATAGGTCCCCGGAAAAGTGAGACAACTTTTGTATAAAATAAAAGTGTAAAGTGCCTTTTATGTGGCCAATACGACAAAGTTATTAAAAAAGTTGTTTAGAATCAACTTTTAGGCCCCTATACCAAATTTCAAAATCATCGGCCAACTATGATTTTTTTTCCAAGCTAATTTCTTTTTATTTACAGAAACGTCAAAAATTTATTTAGTACTAATAATCTTAATGTATGTTTTTTTATTCGAAATAAGGCAACTGCTGAAAACAAAATTGTTTGATTTGTGAATTAATAAACATAAAAAATGAAAAATCATAGTTGGTCGATGATTTTGAAATTTGGTATGTGGGCCTAGATATTGATTCTAAACAACTTTTCATGACAACTTTTTGTCGTAGTTTCCACACAAGACATTCCACTTCACAGAAAAACAGGTTTTTTCAAAATTGCCAATTAGTATTTAACTAAGCGGGTCTGATAAACTCCAAAAAATTAAAATTTAAATCAAGAATTTTTTATCTTTAACGATAGTCGTTCACCTATCCGGGGACACACTGTATATCGTATATTGTATTTTTTTCATACTGTCCAATAATAGTATATTAAAAAACAAGTTTCATAAGACCAGTCTTTTAATGAACTATTACCGTATCAGAGCCGGTAAGTAAACATACGTAAGAACCCAAAAAAATGAATTATTAACTTATTACATACCTCCATGGCACTATTAGAGTCGATAACTGTAACCAAGCAACACTTACCGGATTGTTATTTTTTATACAGTAAAACGTCAGATTTCTTGCAAAGTTTCATGAAGTAGTATGAATAATAGTAGGCAGGAAGAGATTTTTTTGTAGCCTAGTTGTTTATTACCCGAGATACTTGAAGTTCACAACCTTTTGACAAACTCAATAATGGTACCTTTTTGAACTTAAGCCAAAGAAGATAATCACTTGATCAAGTTGTTCAGATCTGTTGTTTGTAATTTTCTTCCAAAATCTACTACTGGTCGTGACCAAAAATGGTAGAAAAACAGAAATAAATAAATAAATAAATAAATAAATTTTGTATCGTTGTTGACCAATTATTTAATTCCAATATTCACACAAATATGAAGGTTAATGTAAATTAAATGTGTCGTGGTAAAAATTTATCAGTAAATTATAATTTTTAGTAAAAAACAAACCTACGACATTGTTTTCAAGTGGTCGCCTACTAAACAAAATGTTTGAATTTTTTTGGTACGATTACCTTATTTTCATCGTTGTCCTAAGTGTTAGTGCTTTGATCGGAGTTTATTATGGCTTTTTCGGAACCAAACAAAAAACTATTAATGAGTACTTACTAGGAGGGAAAAAAATGAGCGTTTTTCCAGTAGGAATTTCTATTGCCGTGAGGTAAATTTTAAAATTTTCACATATCAAAAAATTGCATTTTAATTTTAGTCACTTTTCGGCCATATTACTCATGGCAGTACCGGCCGAAATTTACAAATTTGGAGCTTTTTATTTGTATGCTAATATTTCTATGATTTTGTTGGGTTTTATAACTGTCTACATTTTTCTACCAGTATTTTTCAACCTGCAAATTACATGCGTTTATGAATATCTAGAAAAGAGATTTGATAGAAGAACTCGATTATTAGCTTCGGTATTTTTTGTAATTTCAGAAATAATGGGACTTTCCGTTACCCTTTACTCTCCAGCTTTGGCCCTTTCAATTGGTAAAAAAATTACTGATGCATTTACAGGGTGTTTCAGGTAAATGGTCTCAGCTAGAGGTTTTAAAGTATTTAGCAATTTCTTGCATTAACAATATTTAAATTGCAAAAGATAATGTTTCTTTAAATTGTTTAATTCTTTTAAGACTTTACATACATTTTTGTGTTTTTAATTACGTACAGTATGTTAAGAATACTTAAAATATATAAAATACTTTTAAAAAGTGATAACTAACAACCTATCAGTTTAACAAATAATAAAAATTAGGTGTTTAACAAAATGTTTCTTATGAGTTATGACTTATTCAAATAAAAAACCAAAAACTGAGAGTGAGAGCACCTCAATGGAACACTCTGTATAATGTCCACAAAATTTTAGTTTAATATTTTAGTTACCGGCTATCAGGTCCACTTGATTATAATTATTATCAGTGCCATTTGTACATTTTACACCGCAGTTGGAGGTCTAAAAACAGTGATATGGACTGACTTTTTTCAAATGGGGATAATTTTTTTGTCCCTTATAGCCGTCCTTATTTTTGGTTTCGCTGCTTCAGAAAATGTTTGGAACACAATACTTGCCGGTGAAAGACTTGATATTTTTGAGTAAAACTTTGCCTAAGTACATCCACCTCTAACGAAAAGATAAAGTTTCAGCTTGAATCCTACAAAAAGGGATACATTTTGGACGTTTGTAATTGGATTTACAACTCCTTGGATATATTATGCCAGTCTAACACAAAGTGGTGTTCAAAAATATTTAACACTGCCTACACTAAAAGATTGCAATAAGTGAGTAAACATTTTCAATAAAGAAATCTAAATTAAATTTTGATATTAGTGCAGTGAAAATTTTTGTCCTTGTGCTGGATTCAATCCTAATAATTTGTTGTTTATTGGGATTTTTAATTTATTCTCATTATGCAAACTGTGATCCTTTACTAAATGGAAAAATTCAAAAACACGAGCAGCTATTACCTTATTACATTATGGAAATTGCTGGAAATGTGCCGGGAGTTTTTAGTTTAACTCTTACTGGTTTATTTTGTGCTTCACTGAGGTATGTTCTTTTATTTTAAAGAAGAACAAAATAAATTTTAATAATTCTAGCACAATTTCATCAAGTTTAAACTCAATTTCCGGCGTCATTTATAAAGATTTTGTTACAAAATTTATAAAAAGTGAAATTTCTGAAAAAACGGCTGGGTATATTTTACGAATCATTGTGATTATTGCTGGTATTTTGTTTCTTTCGATTTCTTTTATTATAGAGCTCTTAGGTGATATGCTTCCTTTACTCATGAGTGTGACAGCAGTTGTAGATGGACCATCGTTTGGTTTATTTGCATCAGGAGTTTTAATTCCAAAAATGAATGCCAAGGTAAAATTAATTTGAGTTCTTTTGCAATTATGCTCATAATTTTAGGGAGCTTTTGGTGGAGCTATTTTGGCCGGTATTATCCAAGCAATGATAATAATTATTTCAAAAATATATTTCTTTAATAATGCAATTGTTACAATTCATAAACCTTTGTTAATCGATGGCTGTGATAATCAAACGATTTGGACAAATTCTTCTCTAATCAGCCTTAACAATACTTCACATGACTTAACAACAGGGTATAGATGATAAAATGATAAATGATGAAAATAGTTTTTTTTTATTTTTTTAGGAGCAAACCATTTTTTATATTTCGTCTTTCACATCACTACCAGTGTTTATTTGGAGCAATTGTAATGATAATTACTGGTCTAATTATAAGTCATTTCACCAAGAAGGATAATCTACCAGTTGAGAAAGTGTTATTCAGTCCTGTTATTCATCGATTTCTATCTGAAACTTCAACAGCAGAAAAAGGCCAAGAGTTACAAGAACTTATGACAAATCACAAAAAAAAATGTGATGATACAAAATAATAATTTTCTTCTGATAATTACAACAATTAAAGTATTTGCTTACATACACACGTGGTTGAGGGATGGATGATACATTTAGCTTTTGCTTCAAAATCCTTCAAAAGTAGTTCTTCGCTGTTTTATAAAAAACAGAATTAAATTTCAATTTTGTCAATTTTTGGGGAAATAAATATGACTGAAATTAACAAATTTTTAAACCAGAATCTGAAAAAATCGGAAAATCCTGGTATTTTTCAATATTTCTTCAATTAATGCGGTGTACTATCCCGAGGGTTAGTGCAGGAGGGGTATTTTGCAGACTATTTCCTAAACAAAATTTTTACAAAAACGATATTTTTATTATGAGAAATATAAAAAAATATCTTAAAAAAATATGTCAATCCAATCTTTCAAATTTCTGAGATTTATCCAATCAGATTCACACGGGAATAATCGCGTAATTTGAATCTAATTGGATGGATCTCAGCAATTAGAAAAATTTAATTGGCTTAAATTTTGTAAGAAAAATGTACCATTTGATTGACCAAAAGTTGAATATTCCAATATTTGATTTTAAAAAGTAAGTTTTAATCGTGCATTTTTCTGAAAATGGTAATATTGTAAAGAAAAACGAATTGTAGCAATTTGTAGCAGTTGTTGGTCGTTCTGCTGCTCGTTTGAGTTTGTTAACAATATCCTTATTTGGGAGGGTCGGTTAAATGACGGGTAATGTGCTCTCTTATGGGGGCGAAACAATGCACAATCAAGGCATTACGTCATTAAGGGGATGCAAGTGTTATTTCCAGTGGATGAGTGCGCGTTAACTAAAGGATTTCTTCATCGACACATACGATGACTCTCTCAAATTGAATTTTAATATTTGGAAAGTAGCGTCGCACAATTTACAACACGACTCGAGAGTTTGGCAAATACAAAGTCAGATGCGTTTGTCACTTGCCATCCGCAACAACTTTGCATACGATTTTAGGCATTGATGATGAGGAGAGTAAATAGAAAGGGAGGAATATATTCTAATTTGGGTCTGAATGCGGACAATATTAAGGCAAGAAAGCGAATTAAATACGACACCCCATAAATTAGGGCAAATTGCCTCGACGCGATGACAACACAAATGAATTGTATTAACGCAATCGTAAATTCATTGGTGCGTGACATGTGGGTGTTGATCATTGCTCCTCTCTCTATCCATGAATGACCATAAACAAAACTCTGATGCATTAAGGAAAGACTCGAGACGGCTTTATTGCCAATAAGGCATTGTCTATACTCATCCAAACAAAAAGTTTGCATTCGATATATTAATAACATCCTCTTAAGTCCAAAATAAAACTAAAACGTTGTTGCCCGCGGTCGCCAGACCTTCGTCATTTTATAAAAGCTGAAAATTTGTCAGCGCATACTACCAACACAGGTAGAAACGATGGGCAAGTATGAAGTTTAGGTCGTCGTGGCTTTGGGAGATAACAGGTAGCAAAGAAGTAAAAAATGTTAAATTAGTATATTAAAGAACAAGTTTTATAAGGGTTGATTTGGCGCACGAATCCCAAGTTAGAAAACGAGCCGTAGGCGTGTTTTCTATGGGATGAGTGCGCCAATGCCATTATAAAACGAATATTTTATGCTATTTTTTCTAATTTGTGCCCTCTTTTTTCTTATTTTAATTAAAAAAATATATTTTTGTCGTCTAGAGAATTTTGTGTTAGTTGGTATCGGTTGGTAACCACTCGGCGCCCACCTGATTTTTTGAATCATTTCTGCCGTCTGTCATTAAAAATAAAATTTACAAATTATTAGTTACTATTAGTGTTACAACATAATAATAATAAATAAAACATAAGCCAACAGAATTTAGTTTGCACTCCGCCTGAAATTTGCGAAATTGCCGAAGCAACCTCTCAAAATTTGTTACCTGACAAGTCAGAAGCGGTATACAAAAACTAAATAACCCTAAATTCATTAAAGTACAGTGTGCTTTTATAGATAGCCATAAACGACTCCTACTGGAGTAGGAACTCATACATAAGATGAAGAATGATGAACAAATTACACAGGGCGACAAAAAAAAGTCATGTCGTGACAACTTGACAAATTTTGTATCATTTTGTTCGTCTCAGTGAGACAAATCTCATCTCAGTGAGACAAAACAAATGCACAAAAAAAAATTCAAAAAGTCCACACACTGAACTAAATATTTTTTTTTTAATTTAAATGAATTTAAAATACTTTAACTTTATAAAATCATTACTCAATAACTATTAGGCCTTCCTTCAAATAAAGACCATTCTAAAGAGATGGACTTGCCCTTTAGAATGATATACAATTTGAAATTGAATATTGGCAAACTTTTTTTCGAACAGTGTTCGAAGCAGTTCGAAGTTAATCGAAGTAATCTAAGAAAAACCCTACGAGTATATTTATTTTTCTTCATCACCATCGTGTAGAGCATTTTTTTATTAGTAAGAATCCAAATTTTTAAAATAATATACCGAGTTGTTTTTAAAATATGATTTTTTAAAAATAAGGTTTGCGATCAGGTATTGCCCCATATAGGAGAAATGCATGTTAATCTTACTTAAAATTGCATTTTTATAAAAGTGTTTGTTTTAAGACTCTTCTTGTGCTTAAAAATGGTCAATTGCACCTTCTTTGTTCTAATTAGAATAAACAAAAAACTGTTCTTTACTTAAAACAAACAAAGTTCCCACTTAAAACGTTTTTTGAAAATTGAAAAATTTTAAATCACTTCTTTTTTAGAAAAAAGACAAATTACGTCTATATTAGTTTTTTGAGTTTATTTTAAAAACATGATTCCCACATGCAAAATCGAAAAAAAAACAAAAATTCAAAGATTTATTTCTTTTCTGTTATTTATCATTTTTTTTTCAATATTTATCAAATTCATCTTTTTGTGATTTGTTTTTGTATACAAAGTGTGTCAGAACTCCCGCCCCAGAGAAAAATTTCAAATAAGATAAAATACCATGGTAAAAATGTTTAAAAAAATTTTGACATTTATTTTTTTACATTTGACATTTTTTATGTCTATTTAATGATACTGATGATCTTGTATACAGGGTGCGCCAGAACCCGCGCCCCAGAGAAAAATGCCATGTAAGATAGGATATCAGAAACATGAAAAAAATGTTTAAAAAATTCTATCTGTCAAAAAATTTTGACATTTATTTTTTGACATTTGACATTTTTTTTCATGTTCCTAGTATCTTACCTTACATGGCATTTTTCTCTGGAGCGCGAGTTCTAGCGCACCTGTATATTTTAGATCAAGAATCTCCACTTGCAAATAAATTGAAAAATTATTAAAATTGAAACGAGTTTCCCTGACTGAAACTCGAAGATTTTTTTTTCATCCCCGTCAAACATATTTCGAGAAAATGCTTATTTCCAGGTTCCATCTTTCCATCCCCTGGCTCGTACTGGAGCAACCCCAGCGCCAACCTCTACTCGAATATCGCTGCCAGTACCCACTCAATCAGCCACCACGCGGGCCCCCATTTGGGCGCACCCCCTCTGGGCTCGTACCCCCACTACGCATGACCTGCTTCGACCTCATCGCCTGGGCCCGACTGGACCAGAAAAATCCCCATGTGAGCGTCCCCGGAGATGAGCCTCAAAACAGTATTTAAACAACACGAAACACACTTGCAAATGCCAATAGAGAAAAATGTAGAAGACTGGTCAAATTTTTCGTTTTTTTTGTGCAATTTTTTTCCGATTCTAGTCGCATCCAAACAAATAGGTAAAGTGTTAGGTTAAAGCCAGTGCAATGTTTTAAATGTATATATTTAGAAAATTTGAAATGTGTAAAAAGACACAAACCGCAATCGCGGCGACTGTGATAAGATTTTACGTGTTTTAAATCATTCCAAAATCTCTTCTATGAAAATTTTAAGATTGCGATTTTCATAGATGATGATGACTTTCCTATGTTCCTCTCTCATTCCATCTGGGAAAAGTTATTTATTTTTTAAATTATTATTTTCACGATCTTCTGTATCGTGTACCAACATTATTTTTCATAACTGTACATAGTTCTGTATATTCAACTAGTCGATAAGTAACTGTTGTCTAAGGCTTGATAGAAGAAGAAAAACTCTTAGAAATTAGAAAAGACGAGAAATATCATAGATGTACTAGTCATATACCTACCTAAATGTCAACCATTTTGTTAAGGAGCCACTAAATGGCTGCCACAATCTTAAAAAGTGTATAAATGTTATGTATTTATTATACAAAATATAGCCAAAAACCCCTCTCTCTTATTCACTACTAACCTCCCTTCAAATCTGAGCAAAAGACAGTTATTTAAGTTTGAAAAGTTTAAGTGAGGGTGACGTTCATGTATCACTACATCATTACGTCATTATATGGCGCGTGGCGGTCGTAGGGCATAAGTTTCACGCACGATTTCACGTCTACATGGCTACTACGACTTTCTGAACCTTTATATGCAACGAAAAGACGCCGAGGGGGCGCCAAATCAGCGCAAATGGATTGGAAACTCTTCAGCCTAAACAAATCGGCAAAAATTCGAAGTTTTATTGCCAACCCTATAAAGGTGAAACTCTCTACAGGCTATTAAAACACTCATTTTGATGCTTTAACAAAGGTTATTTTATGAATAAATCGACGATTCGTTTCGCCCTCCTTGACAGGATAAATTATGAACGACACAAGTCAGGGCGTGACGACCACTTTTATCTAAATTTTACATCGTTTGGAACACATTTTTGTTAAAAGTTTTCCGGTTCGTGTAACCAGAGTCGATTTTTCCGAATTGATTAGATCATAGTGTGCTTTGGATAGGTTTAATTATGAGTGTTGCTTGGATACCTGAAGTGAAATCCTCATTGGTTCTTGAAGAGCGATCGATTGACGGCTTACCCAATCCCAATGGTGGATGCGCCACGAATGGCCGGAAATGCAATCGAGACACCTTAGAAAGACGCGCTGATAAGCCAGCCAATAATAATGACAGGTGAGAGCAAATGTTAACACGAGATGTTGATTCCGACATTTTAAAATAAAATTATTAACAATAATAAAGACAAATTTGTGTAATTATTAAAAGATTAAACTATTTATAAAATAATAAAAAAATTAATTGTGTTTTGTCGTGCAATTTTGATAACATTGTGTAGCGAGCGATTTCTATTTAGATTAATTTTATGATTACTTTATTTAAACTGCTTGAGACAAATAAAAAGCACTATAATATAGAATGTTCCACAATCGTTATTAATTAATTCGTCTTAATAAGTTTTGTTTTTTATTCTTTGCGAATCTCGTTGCTTTCAGTCAAGAGAAAATTCACGCTGGACTTGCTATTGTCAAATGAGGGGACTTTGTTTACACAAAATATTGACTGATTGGAAATATTGAAGTTTACTTTAGTTTCTGATTGATCGCTTTTTCCTGACCTTACACCTACATTAACAGCTGGTCGAAACAGAACATTTCTTTATTTTCCTTTAAAAATAGTGAGGAACAAAAAATATCATAAAAATGATTTATTTTTAAAACTAGGAAAAGCATTTAGTTACGTTTTTGTCATTTGTAGACGCTCCTAAAAACAGCTATTTTACAGACTCATTTAAGTCTCTAAAATGAGTTCTTTTCAGACTCTATAAAATATTACTTAAAATAGTTATTTTAAGTACTATAAAATCAATAGTACCTACCTAGAGTAACTAATTTAGGTACTGATTTTTACTTTTAACCACTATTTTTGAGAAATTAATTCATAATATAAAGTTTGAATGTGTTTTCGTGAGTTTAAAAAAAATGTTGTTTGTAACACGTAAAAAAATTATGCTAATTCATCTGCTATTCCAAACTCGACTGCATCTCATCTGGAAATAGCAACGATTCATCCGCAAAAACTACATACTTGTAAGTAACATTAGTAAGGTTTGATCACAAAATTATTCGACATTTAAAAAATTAATATTTTTAACTTGCCTACTCGTAAATTTTCCTTGAATTTAATATTTTCTATGGACCCCTTTTTCACTGTTTTGTGCCCACGAGCTATTTTTTTGTGACCTTGGAACTGTTTTTTGTCCAATTTTTTGTGCCGATGAGCGATGTTTTAGTTTTTGTTCCAAAAATATTTTGCTGCGATTAACGATTTGGCGAATTTTTGTTCTATCCAGAGATTTCTTAGAGTCTGATCTCGGTTTTTGCTCATTTTGTTGTACTCAAACGAGCGATTTTGTACTCAGTTTTTTGGTTAATCAAGTGATTCTTATCTTACTTAATTTTAGTTATAAGAATCACTTTTTACTTACTTTTTTGCTAAATTAATTTTTGTTTAATGGTTTTTGATTAGGTACATGCAATTTTTGATCAATTGTTTCGTTTTAACGGGCATGTTAAGGCGACTTTTTGCTCAATTTTTGGTTCCAAAACGCGATTTTTGTTTAAATTTTGTTATAACTTATTGATAATTACGTAAAATACTAAAGATATTTTTCCACAAGAAAATTCTTAAAGAAAAAAAAGGGTAGCGACCCTGCCAGGATTCGAACCTGGAATCTTCTGATCCGTAGTCAGACGCGTTATCCGTTGCGCCACAGGGCCTACGACAAAACAATCTCATTCCAGCTTTTTACCCAACAATTGTTAATCCACGTTATTGGCAACATATTATTAATTCAAGGTAAAATTGTAAAATAATACAAAAAACCACTTATTTAAGTACTTATATTTAATACTCTTAACAAACACGTAAAAACATTCATATACTATACAAATTAAAAACACATTATAGCAGCTATCACCGCGTGTAATTTAAATTTTTATGGAAGACGTCTAGTAACTTTTCTTATCACACCGATAAAACAAATCTTTGGTACAAATCTAAACCACATTAGCAGAGGCAACAATTGTGGGACTCTCAATATCTTTTTTACTCTGAATCAACTTCAGTTCTTTCGCCCTTGAGGTGACTTCGCCCTTTGCACATTCAATGGTACGTTTTAGAACGGCCTGAAGTGTTGAAACGGTCTTCTCCAAAGATTCTTTCAAGTTATTCCCACTTTTGTGCATCCAGGCTAAAAATAATGCGGCAAATAAATCCCCAGTCCCGGTAAACGACCCAGATAATTTGGGAACCTTTATAGTAACCTTTTCAGAGCTACTCCCTACTTTCTTACTCGCTAAAACGAGTAAATTTTGGTCGTTTCCCAACTCTGTAGATGACACAACAACGATTTTGGGGCCCTTGTTGTGTAAGAAATCAACAGCCTTCCAGGCATCTTCCACGTTGTTGATTTTCATGTCTGTGAGTAGCTCGACCTCGAACTGATTAGGGGTGATTATGTCAGCCAAGGGTAAAATACTGTTCTTGTAAATTGGAAGTAAATCAGCTGGGACATACATCCGCCCATTGTCGCCCATCACTGGGTCGCACACATAGGTCAGCGATGGGTTGACACTCTTCAGATGTTTCACCAACGCACATATTCTCTTGAGGAAGCTCTCAGCTCCGATATAGCCAGTCAAAAGGTGGCTGTAGAAGTCCAAATTATTGGCTTGGAGGCCTAAAGCCAAGTCGTCCAAATCCTTCTCAGTTAGGACTTGTCCCGCTACCTTTTTGTACCCAGTGTGGTTGCAAAATTGGACCGAATTGATGAAATCGACTTCAAAGCCCAACAGCTGAAGGGGAAACGTTGCGCTTTTGTTACCGACATAACCTGAAACGACGTGACTTTGGATCGAGAGGACTCGCGGACTTTCTGCCATTCTCGCGGGATTCTTTGCACGCACTGAAAGTTTCTCGAGGAAAATGTGGACTTTGGACTCGAAATCATTTGATGGAATTAGGAAACAAACAGATAATTTAATATTATTTCCATTGCGCAATAAATCGAGTGTACGGCTGTCACCACAGAGTTGCCAAAATTAAAATGTTAAAAGCACCGCCCAAAAAATCAAATTCATCAGTTCTGTCTGAGATGAAAAGTAGCCAGGATTTACGCGTATTTTCACCAGATTACAAGATTATAATTTAAATTTCTCTAATACTGTAAAAAGTTTAAGTTTTTTACGTAAATAAATCTCGCAAATCTCAAAAACGTCGAACGGTCGAAAAAAAGAAAAATAAAGCTACTTTTGGTCGAATTCTGTAAATTTTTGGCTTGTTTTTTAACGACATTTTGCAAAATTTTTATATTTTTACGAAAAGACTTGGAAAAGGCAAAAATAATCACTTGATTTTGTGTTTTTTTTAGTTTTAGCAAAATCTCACAAAAATTAAAATTTTAATATAGGTCAAAAACGTGCTTATAAAAGCTTGAAATACTATAAAAAAGTAACATTATTTTCAACCAAATTTTGTGTTTTGCGGTTTGTTTTTTTTTAAATATCGTTTT